AACAGGAACTGATCAGGCTCTGACTGCAAATGTCTTCTGATGCCAAATTAAGGGACTAAACTGTAGCTCTGATCCTGTAAGACGTAAGAAACATGTAATTGTCACAACAAAATACCTCTGACTTTATTTTCAGGACAATGGCAGCAACTTGGATCTTGGTCTACACTGAGAAATGACTAAAGGCAGAAAACAACTCTGGGGCTGTGCAATTTGGAACATGGCCTGCAGTGGTGACAGGGGAAGAGGAGTCAGAGGAAGACAGCAGCTGTGCCTAACACACTCTTGTGCAGTTTTCTTGCTCTGGGGGTTGAATCCAGCACCTTGGGCAAGCTTCCAACTTTACCTCACACCTCTTCCTCTGTACTCCTTTTTAAATGTCCTTTTCATGTAATTTTTTTCCAAATTTCTGATATGGGTGTTTTTTGTTTGTTTCTTTGGTTTTTTATTTTGTTTTGCACAAAAGTGTTTAGAATAAAATTACCAAAGCTGAGGACAAAAAGTCTCCTTTTTTCTTTCTCATCACAAAATACTAGACTCCTGTCCAGACTGCAGGTTTCCCAAGTGCTGTGTGACAATGAGCTTAAGAAGCTCAGGGCTCTGAGCTTCCTGTGTGCAAAAAGAGGAAGTCCACTAACGGGTCTAAAGTTCTTGCCAGTTTGAAAACATTTATTACAGCGCTAACGACCTCTTTACCCTCCAGGAGCCACCACTAGAAAAGCAAACATGCTAATCAATTATGAAAACTCCATTAAAGACAGGAAGATGCCACTGTACCTCTTATCTGCCCATCGTCATCTACATGTGTGTACATCTACTGTGAAGGACTTCATGACACATTAAAACATGAACATACCAGTCCTCATCGAAACCCTAACACAAAACTGAAACTCTTAAGAACTCTGGCAGCCATTTCACTTTCAATTACAAAAAAAAAAAAAAAAAAAAAAAAACATGAATCAAAAAGAAACTTTTTGTCTTTAGTTTAAGTCTTGAAAATTCAACTTATGTTAGGTTAAGTTTTCACACATAATCCCATGCTGTAGAATCAGGTTTCTACAGCCCTTTTAATGAAAAAAAAAAAAGTTGACAATATTCCTTGATCAATCATAATTAAAAGTTTTCCTAACTAGAAAAATATGCTCTTCAGATGTGTCACTGCACATTTCTCTAACTCTTTTTGAGACGGGGTCTCATGGACCCCAGGCTGGATGGAGCGCATATGTAGCCAAGTAAGCCTTGAACTTCCGGTCCTCCTGGCTCCACTTCCCAAGCATTGGGATCACATCAAGTTCAGCCCACACGGAACAGAACCCAGAGCCTGCGTGTGGACGAGCACCCCGCTGACCTCACTATATCCCCAGCACAAGGTGGAGCTTCTTACTAATAAGCAAAAATTTTATGAATTCTCATTCACACTCAAAAACTCTAAACTATCCTGGAAGCACAGCCGGTGGCAGACTGCATGCTTGGGATGCTCAGCACCCTATATTTGACCCCAGCACCAACAGATACATGCCAGCCAACAAAACGGTTCACCAGGTAAAGGCCCTTCTTTAACTCAAAAACCAATGCTGCAAAGTTGTTTCCTGACCTGCATACGCATACCATGGCACACACCTATTTCTAATAAGTAAATTTTAGGTAATTAACTTTAAGCCTGGTTTTTTTAAGGCATGTATTTACTTCGAATGCCTGGGGGAGAGGACACCCACAAGTCACAGCTGTGGAAGTCAGAGGACAATTTTGTAGAGACTGTTCTCTCCTTAAACCATGTGGATTCCCAGGATCCAACTTAGATGTCATGCCTGGAAGCAGACCCTTTTAACTGCTGTGCTGTCTTAAGAGCTCTTGATTTCTTTCTTTACAGGGGATCAATACTTTTCCTTCCAAACAAAAAATTAATGAGTAACATTTTTAAAAAGAAAAAAAAAAAAAAAACCTGGGAGAAATAAGCCCTGGTGCCATGTTGCACAACAAAGAAATTGCATATAATCATGAGATACTCAATGTATCAAGTAAGTTAGAAACAAGAATTTTGAATGTTTTCAATACAGTGAAGTGCTAACTGTTTGAAGAGACATTTTTACCCTAATTTAAACAGCATATAATGTATACAGAGATCAAAAATCTTTATGCACCAATTAAATGTAAAAAGGTGAAAAACTGAGATGCGTCTTACATTTCTAGCCTGCTATAAATTCACACTACGTTGCATTGCCTATATTAAAATCTTACTTGGAAGGAACAGTCTGTAAGCTATTACTAAAGCATAAGCAAAACTTTTCCTGAGTTATTCCTTCCAATGTTACTCTACAGATAGAACAATGTTTATATATGCGAGTGTATATATATGTGTGTATACATATATATGCACGTATATATGTATGTATATAGTGTTATATATGATAGAATCGATTCTCTCTAGCAGGCCCTCATCTCTTTTGCTCCCTAAGAGAAAATGAAAAAAAATGTTAATGATAATTCCTTTTCATTTTCCCTGGGTTTACCAAAATAAAATCTGAAAAGAGGTGAACTGTAATTTATAATGACCAGAGGATAAAATCCTTACTGTGCAAATCTGTATCACAGTTGAGAACCATTACTAAAACCTTTCGTTCTTTCAAACTGCTGATAAGTAATGAACATAAAACTAATTCCACTACCAAACCACAAGAGATTTCAGTGTTTAGTGTAAAGCCAGGAATCCAGACCAGACACTTAATCCAAGAAAAATAATTAAACAAATATAAAACCTATCATGGTTTGATTTATATGTGCTATAGTAGTCTGAAAATATGAGTATTTTTCATATTCTATGTGGGTTTTTGGTGGTGGTGGTGGTGGTGGTTGGTTGGTTGGTTTTTCAAGACATGGTTTCTTTGTGTAGCCCTGGCTGTCCAGGAATTCAATCTGAAGACCCAGCTAGCCTCGAACTCTGAGATCTGCCTGTGCCTGCCTCTAGCTCTAAGTGTTGCTGGTTTTTTTTTTTTAATTCTACTTTAAAAAATAAAAAAACACTGATCTTATTTTATTTATTCTAATTTACCAATTTCACTCAAAGAATAAGTGTATTTTACTCAAGAACTTTATTAGAATGACATACTGAAAAATAAATAGAATCAAGAATTGGTTTTTGTTGTAATCCCAGCCATTCAATGCAATTCAGAAGCATAATTAAACTTTTCTCAGTTTCTGGGCAAATAAAAATACTTTAAGATATTTTTAATGTAAGCTTTTTTCCTTCTAGACGAAGTGTATTACAAAGTTAGCAGAATGGGGGCAAGGGGCAATCCAGCTCAACAATGTAACAACAATGTCCACACAACAGCACCGGGTTTGCTTTCCCCAAACATCCCGGGGAAGATTCCCAGCGGATACCAATTTAACAAGCCGAGTGCTGCTCCAAAGATAAAGCCTAAGTCAAGTACAGCACTCTTCAGCCCCTATCCAGCACTCAAGGATGCGGCAATTAAAAACAACTCAGACAGCTGAGCAGCTTGGCCTGAACAGTTCATTCCACCTGCAATAGTGCCCATGATCCTTAAAACCTGGACAGGACTTACACTTTTCCGGGCACTGTGTAAGAAACACTTTCCGTGGCTGTGTTTTGGTTTCCCTCTTATAAAATTAGCACATGCACTGCCTACTTTGATCCTGGAGTTCTTCAGCCAACCGTATCAAATCACAGCAGTGTGAAGGGCCCCTAAGTAGCACTTCATACGTAAAGTGGGGTGATAATCTGCCTCTCAAAAATGCTCCATTACAATCTTAAAATCTCTTTTTGTATAGTCTGACAGTCCTTGGAGTCTGAGACTGTCTTTCTAAGTTACAGAACCTAGAGGAAAGGAATTCCTTCCCGGATGGGGACCAAGGTGACAATTGGGTTTAAACCCACCATTCCCAGGCCAGGAGCTAGTTCTGCCTGTCTTGCTCTACAAGTTGGTCTGCCGTCCATCCCAAAGGAGCTATTCTCAACACATTATCCAGCTTGTCTTTTATTAATAAAACAATCCATAAAGGCTCCCCAAGAGATTCCTATAGAGTCCCTCAACTCAAAAAACGGTGGTTCAGGCCCAGGTCTGTGTCGGTCCGCTTTTTGTTCTTGATGGTCTGGGTTCTCCATAAACACTACCCACACGCAGCCATCTGACAGAGGATCAAGGATGGAGGCTGTTAATACTCAAGAGATTTCTTCGCGAAGGAGAAAAAAAAGGGCAGGGTGTGGTGGCCTTTAATCACAGTGCCGGAGAGGCAGAGGCAGGCGGATTTCTGATTCCAGGCCAAACAGGAGTGCACAGAGAGACCCTGTCTTAAAAAGGGGCGAGGAGATAACCAAGAGGTGGGAAAGGTGGGTTTGTAATATACAGTTAATCTCTCTCCAGGGTCCACCTTCAGAGTGCTGAATTCAGAATACTAAAGTGTGGGATCGGGAGAAGGTGAGCGAGCAAGATCAGGAAGTAAGCCACAGGGGAGGCGGGTTGATTCGGAAGCATCCAGAGAGTCAGACCCGAGGGGCCAGCCAGGACCCTAGCGCTCGCTCGGCCACCAGACGGGCGGCGGCCCCGCGAGCTTTCAAACCGCCGCCCCGGGAAGGCTCTGCGCCGATTGGAAGTTCTACAAGACCGTCACCAGCACAGGGCCAAACCGGTAACTCTTTAGCCAAGCCCTCCAGCGAGTCCCCCGGGACCAGACCCCCCTAAACTCCACCTTCCAGGCGCGGTCTCCACCGGGTCCCGCCGCCCGCTGTAAGCACGCAGCGGCGACTCGGGGCGGGACCGACGACCCCGACGGGACTTGCACTGGGCGACTTCGAGGGGCGCGACCGGCCGACGGGGCGGGGGGCGGTGGGAGAGACGGCAGCAGGAGTGCCTCCGAGTCGGCCCCGGGACGTCGCTCTGCGACCCACGCCGCCCCGTCCCGCAGATTACGACCCACCCAGCCCTTCGGGTCGCCGCAGCGGCGGGGACCCGGCGAGCCCACTCCCCCGCCCGCGCTCTTACCCATCTTTCCGCCTCGCTTTGTAGACGTGCCCGTAGGTGCCGCGTCCCACTTTGCACCCTTCGTACTCAAACAGATCCTCCACCCGCTCCCGCTCCGCCGCCAGCTTCGCCTTGAAATCATAATCCATTGTCTGCTTCCCCCATAGAGAAACCGGGACGCGGGGGCCGCCGCCACTCAGTCCCTCCTCCGCCGCCGCCGCTCCACTTCTCCAACAGCCGCCGCTCGGGCGCGCGCGCGCCGCCCGCCGCTCCGCGGTCCGCCTTCAGCAAGGGACTCCTCGGCGGCCGCGGCAGCCACCTCCTCCGCCTCCTCCTCCTCCGCGGCGGCGGCGGCGGCTCCCGCAGGCACCCACAGTCCCGCCTCCCCCCTTCATTTCCTTGTTTTGGAACCTGGTGGGCCGCGCCGCGGCTTTCTCGAACTCATTAACGAACCAAGCGGCCCGCCCCGAAGTTGCGGGGAATGCTGGGAAGTGTAGTTCAAGGGGCCCCAGGAGCTGTGCGAGTTCCCCGGGCTCTAGGAATACAGTACCCAGAGTTCCTTGGGCCACTTCGGCCACGCCTCCACACGGCGTGCACGCCTGCGCGCTGCCGCCGCCCCACCCCCTCAGGTAGCGCTCGACGAGCTGTTCCTGTAAACTGTAGCGCAAAGTTACAGCGGGCTTTCTGCGAGCTTGCGGGAGCTGGTGGGAAGGAAGCCTTAGCTCAGCTGGGAAGGAGATACCCGGCTTTGACTGTCCCTGGGCTAGGAAAGCGGGAAGCACGGCACGAGAGCCTTGCTCAGGAGCTCATTCCGGAGCATCCAGAGTCGAGGACTGGGGTTTAGACAGTTGTACTACACATTGTTTGTTTTCTTGGGCAATTGATCCTCCTGTTGCCCCGCCCCTGGCCGCGGCTTATTGGCAGAGACTGAAGAATGACGTCCTCTCTGGTGTGTGGGTATCTCGGGTTTGGCTTCTTTCCTGCTCTTGATTGGTAAACGGGTGTGCTGGGTTCTTCCTGATAGGTTAATCTTTTTTTTCTTTACGATGCAAAAAACCGTATTTCAAAACCTGAACATTCAGCGGTTTCCCAGCTCTTGCTAGGGGAAGCGTGTAACTTCTGCGGCCCACAGCCAATCATCTTTTTCTTGGCGCTCTCGTCGGTTTTATCCTAGCATATGCGGGTGCGGTAGCCGAGCTTTAACCATCTGTCTGAGAACAATTAAAGTGCCTGGAAGATTGGAAAATGCAGCGTTTTGAAAATAATCATTTTTGCTGGGTTGTAAAGCGTTTTTTACATTCTGTGCGTAATGGTGAGGCTCACCTGGCGGGGGAGGTTAAGGAATTTGTGTTAATCGTGATATTGATTCCTTACGGTTTCTGGTGCTCAGGACCCAGCACCTCAAAATAGCACTGTAAGAGCCTACAAAGTGCCACGGTACTTTGCATATTGATTGCTTTCAAAAGAAAAGAAATTGAGATCCATCCAATAACGTGCGTTTCAGCTCCCTTCCACTACCTAAAACAAAATGTAAGGCAGCATTTTTGTAAAGAGGTTAAGTTTATAAGGAAAACTTGATAAGGTATCTGTATCAGGAAGGCAGTTTACCTATTCCTAGACAACATTATTCCTGGGTAGGCAATCTAAATAAAGAGTCGACCCTTATTCGTGTTATTTCCTTCCCTCACCTTAGCTTAATTTGTCTCCACTACCTACTAAAACTTTAACTTATTGTGCCTTTCTGTATGACTTGAGCTTCAATCACCTGGCCTCTGAGTTTCATTTTGTAGGACTACAGTACATACATCTATAATTAACCTTGTTCTGTTAGACCAGGCAGGGTGGCACACACTCTGTAGTCCGTGCTGCTCTTGGCAGAGTCAAGGAGACTTTCTTGAGTTCCAGAGGATAGAGCCAGCCTACATAGTCCTGCTAATCTGGTTTATGCCAATTTAATTTGCAGACTAACCAAGCAATTTAGGATAAGGGGAAGTTATTTTTCCCTTCCTATAATGGCATGTTCACATATCACACGCTCCGACACAGATGTAAACATGACTAGTGCTAGGATAGGATTCATATGTAACCATTAGTATGATAACAAAAGGGGTAATGGGCACTGGGCAAGGGTGGCACACGCCTTTAATCCCCAGCACTGGGGAGGCAGAGGCAGGTGGATCTCTGAGTCGAGGCTACCGGGGTCTACATTGCAAGTTCCAGTCCAGGACAGCCAGGACTGCACAGAGAAAAACACTTAAAAAAAAAAAAAGGGCAGGCAGTGGGGGCAAGGGCTGTGGGGTGTGTGTGTGTGTGTGTGTGTGTGTGTGTGTGTACAGGTAATGGTCAATTCTACCTGAAGCAATAAGGAAAGTAAACTTTTTTTTTTTTTTTCCAGACAGGGTTTTTCTGTGTAGCTTTGACTGTTCTGGCTTTGTAGACCAGGCTGGCCTTGAACTCAAAGTGATCTGCCTGCCTCTGCCTCCCTGAGTGCTGGGGTCACAGGTGTGCACCACCACACCAGGCTATAGTAAACAACTTTTTACAAGTATTGTAGGTTGCCTGCTAGGTTTTCAGAAACTCTTGTAAAATTAGAGTAGAGTTGCTCTTTTTCCTGCCACTGCCCTTTCCCAGTTACTTCCTCAAATCTTGAAGGTCAAGATTTTATTTCCACCAGGCTTGGAGGTGCATGCATATGATCCCAGAGGCAGGCAGATCTCTGTGAATTCCAGGCCTCCCTGGTCTACAGAATGAGTTCAGAACAGCCAAGGCTACACAGAGAAATCCTGTCTCAACAAAACAAACAAAGATTTTATTTCCTTCAACAATCTGAGTGCTGGGACTGTAGCTCATTTGGTACAGTACTTATCTGGTGTGCTGGCTACAAAAAAACATGCACTCCCAGAACCCCATCACTGGAGGTGGAGGCAGGAGGATCAGAAAGTCAACATCATCCTCAGCTACAAAGAGAGAGGTGAGGGAAAGAGCAGGAAGTTGAGGAAAAGAGAGGAAAGAATCCGACTCACTAAGTATTATATACCTAAGTAAAAGAAATACGCAAGTCAAATTAATGAACTGGCCAAAAGTGGGGGAACACCTTTGATCCCAGCATTTGGGAGGCAGAAGCAGGCAGATCTCTGTGAGTTCAAGGCCAGCCTGGTGTGCAGAGCTAGTTCCAGGACAGGCAGGCTACACAAACCCTGTTTGAAAATAAATAAAAACATAAACAAATAGAATGAACTGTAATGTCACAAAGCCGTGGTAAAATAGGATAAATTTTAGGCTGGGTGGGTAGCCTTCATGAAGGAAGCAGTGTGAGTCAAAATTTAAAGATTGAAGGGGGCCTAAGAACAAGTGAGAAAGTAGGCAGCATAAACCTGTCAGGCAGAGCAGCCTGCACTCCTGTCACAACATGAAACATTATGAGCAAGCAACTAATTTGAACACTGCAGATAAGCCAGAGAGAAAGAATGGACAAGACAAGACAAATAAGCAGATGTCAAATTACAAGTCTATAGGCTCAGTGGAATTTAGGTTTTATTGTTCTGTAAGTAATAAAAAGTCATTAAAAATGTGTCAGTCTTTTTCAGGGCCACACTACATAGCCCAGATTGGTTTCAAACTCTGGGATCCTCCTGCCGCAGCCCTACAAGCACTGGAGTTACAAGTATGTACCACTACACCCTGTTTATCAAACACTTTTGAGCTAAGGTTTGTAATCAGTTTGTGTTTTTCCAGGAAGATTCCTCTGACCGTATCATTCAGTACACATTAAAGGAAAATAGCGGTGAAGGAGCTACTACTTTGTGGTGGTAAAAAGAGGAACCGTGGAACAGCAGCGTTCATTATGAGGAAAAGGCACGTGTTAGGAATTGTTTAGGAAATGAATTCAGCCAAACTTGGTGGTTAATTAAATGTGGAGTCCATGGACAGGGAACGACTTCAGTGTTTAGAACTCTGCAATATGGTAGAGCCTTGGACAAGCTAGGAAATACAGGACCAGAAGCAATGTTTGAGAGAGAGTATAAATTTGGTTAGGATGTACTGACTAAAGTGCTGACAAGGAATAAAAGTTTAAATAACAACTAGAGAAACAGTTTTGGTTTCCAATAAGAAGATTGGTCTAAATATACAGATTTAGGAATCATACAGTGTATGATTTTGGAATATCAGGTCATACAAGGTCCTAGGCGACCTAGGACCTTGAACATTTTAGGCAGACACTCTACTACTGAGCTTCATGTCCAACCTCAAGTTGTTTTTACTTTCTTTCTCTCTGGCTATCCTGGAACTCACTGTGTAAACCAGGCCGGCCTCACACTCACAGCACACAGGAACACAGACATGCCATGGCACAAAGGTGAAGGTCCGCCAGTGACATACAGGGTTTGATTTTTTTTTCCCTTCACCATGTGGATCCCAGAGATAGAACTCCGGCTGTCGGGCTCCGTGGCAAGCTCCTTTACCCACTGGAATGTGAAGGATGGGAAAATACTCCTCTCAGATTTCCTTCTGTAAGATGTCCCATGTGCTCAGCTCCGTGTCTATACCAAAGCTATACTGCTCATAGGTCACTGCAGAGTGACTACATTCAAACCTCGGATACTAGGGATAGTAAGCAAGCCTGTTTCTGTAGAGGCAAAGATTCCTCTGAGGCGGTCACTTAAAGACTCCAGTGATGGTTATCAGTTGAGTGAGAAGATGCCCAGAAGATGCACATTCCCAACTGTGTCTGTGAGGGTATCTTTGGAGACAGATGACTTGTCAAACAGCAGCTGAGGGGAAAGGAGCATCCTGAATGTGGGTGGCACTAACAGGCTGGGAGGTTGGAGAAAGTTGAGTACAAGTTTCACTCTCCCTAAGAAAGTGCACCTGTGGCTGCCATCGCTATGACTTCAGACTCCAGCTTTCCCACCTTCCAAAATGGACTCAGCAGAACTCTCTAGACAGCTTCCAAGGCCTTCGGCTCATGCTAGGACTGTGTCACTGGTCCCACTTGTTCTGAGGTTTCTAGCTTCTTAGACTAAGTGACTACTGGCTCTGGCTCAGCATGCAGACAACCAGGGAGACACTATTCAGCCTTCAGTCATATAAGCTAACCTATTAAATCATAAGTGTGTGTGTAAAGCCAACTCATACACAGATTGTTAAGAAACAGGCCAGGCTGAGGGCTGCCTGACTCTTCCAGATAAAGGAGGAGCTCCATCCAGGCCTATGTCAAAATTCCTAGAGCCATCACAGTAAACTACCTCCAACTCACTGGCTTAAAATTACAGGAATG